GGGGGGGGGCACAGTCCGGCCACCCCGGGGGGGACGCGGTGGCGGGGGGGGCCCGGCGGGGCCGGAGCTGCTGAGTCACCGCTGGGGCCGTGCCCGTGCCTGGCACCGGCAGCGCGGGCACGGCCTCGGTGCCAGCGCGGGGGGGACGGTGCCGGGGGGGTGACAGTGCCCGGGGGGGTGACAGTGCCCGGGGGGGCCCTGGCAGCGCTCCGCGTGCCCGCGCCCCAGCTCCTCGCCCCCCCCGGTCCCTCGGGGGTGCTGTGGGGGTCCAGGCTGTGGGGTGACCGGGGCAGGGGGACCTGGGGGTGTCCGGTGCCTCCTGGGCATCACCCCCCTCCCACCCCGCTGTCCGGGGGGGTGATGTGTGTCCCCCCCAGGGACCCCTCCTCATCCTCCTCCCCATCCTCAGGGAGACGGGGGGGATGAGCCGTTCCCATGGCAACGCGCGTCCTCTCTCGTTTCCCCCCCATCCCGCACCCCCGGCGGTGACAGACGGGGGGGGACACCCAGGTCCGCGTGTCCCCCCCTCCCCCGCGGTGTCACCACACACGCGCAGACGCTTTTAGGGGGGCTCCGCCCTGTGCGTCCCCTCCAACCCCCCTCCAGGACCGCGCGGGAGGCTCATCCCCCTTTTTTAAGGACAAAACTCCACTGCGCGGGGGGAGCTGAGGCTGGACCCCCCCATCCGACCCCCCCATGCAGGAGCTGACGGACACGCCACGTCCCCCACCCCGGTGTCACCACACACGCGCAGATGCTTTTCGGGGGGGTTCCCCCCCGGTGTCCCCACCCAAATCCCCCCAGGACACCGGGGATGCTCGATCCCCTCTTCTAAGGGACAAAATCCCGCTCCGGGAGGGGACACCGAGGCCGGGCCCCCCCTCCGACGCCCCCACATCTCCCCGCTCTGCTGCCGCACACACGCGCAGACGCTTTCAGGGGGGCTCCGCCCTGCGTGTCCCCCCCCAGTCCCCGCAGGACCCCGCGGGAGGCTCAGCCCCCTTTTTTAAGAGACAAAGTGGGGGACACTGAGGCCGAGCCCCGCCCCCTTCCCTCCCCCCCCCCGGAGCTGATGCAAGCGCTGGGTGGGCCCTGAGCCCCCCCCCGACCCCCCTCCCGCCGCAGCGCCCTCCGGCACAAGCCCCGTATCGCGACAGAGCGGGGCCGGGCGGGCCGCGATTCCCGCTGACATCAGCGGGGTGCCGGGGCCGAGCCCCCCCCGCGCCCCCCCCGCCCCCGCCCCGCTGATGCTCCGGCGCTGCCGCCGCAGCCGCGTCCGCCCGAGCGGGGGGAGCGGGGGGGGGCGGCGGGGGGGGCCGACACCGGAGAGCCCCTGAAATCCGCCGGGGGGGCGGATCGGAGCAGGAGAACGGGATGCCGGAGGGAGCGGAGGCAGGTGAGGCCGGGGGGGCGCGGGGGGACAGGAGGGAGCGGGGCGGCCGGGATGGAGCTGGAAGAACGCGGGGATGGGGGATGGAGCGCGGGCCGGGGGATGGAGGGGGAGCCGGGCGAGGGAGCCGCAGGGCGAGGACGGAGCGGGGCGATGAGGATGGAACGGGGGGGAGAAGGACGGAGCCGGAAGGATGAAGGACGGAGCGGAAAGGACGGAGCGGGAGGATGAGGATGGAGCCGGTGGGACGAAGGGCGGAGAAGGGAGGATGGAGACGGAGACACGAGGATGGGACTGGAGGGATGAAGGACGGAGCGGGAGGGGTGGAAGGGTGCGGGACGGAGCAGCGGGATGAAGGACGGAGCGGGAGGGAGGGGTGCGGGATGGGAGGATGAGGATGGAGCGGGGGGATGAAGGACAGAGCCGGAGGATGAGGATGGAGGGGGGGAATGAGGGACAGAGTGGGAAGGATGGAGCTGGAGGATGAGGACGGAGCGGGAGCCATGGAGGACAGAGCAGGAGGGATGGGGATGGAGCGGGGGGATGAAGGACGGGCTGGGATGACGGAGCCGGAGGATGAGGACGAGGATGGAGCGGGAGCGCTGCAGGACACGGGCCCGGCTCTCGGCAGCCGCCACCGCCCGCGGCTCCGGGCCCGGCACAGCTGGGGGGGTCCGGCACGGCCCCCCAGGGACGGACTTTGGGGACCCCACTTCGGGGCCGCTCCTCCCTCACCCCCCAGGAGCCCCGGGGGGGTCGGCGGCGGGTTGTCCCCCACCCCAGCCCTGTACTGGGGGGGCTGAGCCTCACCCCCCCCCCAGCACCATCCCACCCCCCGGGACCACCGCGTGGGGAAACTGAGGCACAGCCCAAGGTCACCCCGTAGCGATGTCCCCGGGGGCCACTGTCACCTGCCGGGGGGATCGAAGGGACACAGCCCAGTGTCACCTCCCCCTGGGCCTCAGGAGCTGAGTCGGGGGGACCCCAAAATGGGATAAGGGTCCATTTTGGGGAGAGGAATTAGGGCATCCTCTCCAGGGGGTTCTGGGGGACCGTGTGCCAGGTGGGAGTGCGAGGGGACCCCAAAACATCCCCCCAAAGTGTGGGGGTGTCCCGGCCAGGCAGGGGTGGGGAAGGGCTGCGTTAAGGGGGTCCCAGCAGCCCCCCCCCGTTATAGGCCAGAATCACCCCCCAGAATGACTCGGGGGGTGGAAGGGCAGCACGGGACCCCCTTGGCGGGGTGACCCCCCCCCGAAGGAACCTTTCAGGAGTTCTTTCAGTACGTTGTGGGGAGGGGGGGCTTGGACTGAACCATCTCAGAGTGGGGGGGGGGGGGGGGGCCCCGCCCCCCCCACAAACACCCCCGCCAGGCCCCGCCCCCTCCCGGCACCCCCCGCGCCGCCCCGCCCCCTCCCCTATATAATACCGGGGGCGGGGGGGGGGCGGTGCTGCAGGTTTGGGGGGTCCCGTGGGCTTTGGCTGCTCCCTCCCTATGGATCCACCCCTGGGGGGCCCAGGTAATGTGTGTGTGGGGGGGGTTCAGGTAACAGGAGAGGGGTCCCAGGTGACATGGGGAGGGTCCCAGGTAATGGGGAAAGGGGTCCAGGTAATATGGGGGAGGGTCCCACAAGGGGGTTTTGGGGTGTTTGGGGAGGGAGAAGGGGCTGCACACCCCCCCCACCCCCTCGGGTACGCAGTGGGGGGCTGAGCACCCCCAAACTCGGGGACTCCCTGGAGGGGGGGCTGTAAGGGGGGGTGTGCTCCCTCCACCCAAGGGAGGGGTCCCTCTGCGTTGTAGGGGGCTGGCTTGGGGTCCCCCCTTGATGCAGCTGCACCCTTATTCCCCCCCCCGGACCTCCCCCGAGAGGGGTTTGAGGAGGGGGAGCTGCTGGTGTCCCCCCTGCTGTCCCCAGACCCTGGGGAGCCCCCCCAACACCTGCTTTGGGTGGGGGTCACCCTGTTCTCCCCCCCCATGGGTGAGGGGTGACACCACCCCCCAGGCAGTTCCCTGGGTGACGCCCCCCCCGTCCTGGACTGGCCCTGGGGGTCCGTGGCACTGGGGAAGGGGGTCTCCCCTCCCCGTGGTGACTGGGGGGGTCTGTGGCACTGAGGGCTGTCCCCTCTCTCCGCAGCGCCCCCGCCGGTGCCCCCGGGCCCCCTCGACGCCGGTGCGGGGGGGGGGGGCCCGGCCCCCCCCCCGAGGAGCCGACGGACGGGGACAGCGAGGGGCTGTGCTCGCCCCCCACGTCCCCCTCGGGCTCCTACATGACGGCCGAGGGCGGCAGCTGGGGCTCCTCGGGCACCGCCAGCACCTCCCCGTCCTGCTCCCCCAACCTGGCGGCCGAGGCCGAAGGCCTGGGGGAGGCCGAGGGGGACCCCGAGGGCCTGGGGGGGGCCCTGCTGCTGCCCCCCGGCCTGGGGGACCCCCCGGCCTTCCCCCCGCTGTCCCCCGAGGAGGAGGATGAGGAGGACGAGGAGGGTTCTTTTGCCCCCGCGGGCTGCGAGGAGGATGAGGATGAGGAGGACGGGCAGACGCCGGAGGAGGACGAAGACGAGGATGAGGATGAGGTGTCGGGGCTGATCCCGGCGGCGCTGCTCCCGTTCCGGGGCAGCCTCCTGTTCCAGGCCGAGGCCGTGGAGATCTCCCCCCGCGCCCCCCCCGGGAACGGGGAGGAGGAGGAGGAGGAGGACGAAGGCAGCACCTCGGCCTCGTTCCTGCGCTCGCTGTCCGAGAGCTCCATCCCCGAGGGGGGGGACGAGGCCTTCGCCTTCCGCGACGACACCGACGCCTCGTCCGACTCGGCCGCCTACGACGGGGACGAGGACGAGCGGCTCTACGGCACCGAGCGCCACGCGGGGGGCACGGCCACCCCCCCGGGCACCCCCCCGGCCCCCACGGCCACCCCCGGCGTTGAGCTCCACCTTCACGTTGGGTCCCCGTGTCACCCCCCCGCAGAGGGGACGGGCCCCGGGTCTGCGGGGACCCCCCCGGGACTGCCCAGAGGGGACACGGAGCAGGACGGCCACGCCTTTGTCCCCACGGTGGAGGCGTGGTCCCCCCTGGAGCCCCCCGAGGAGGTGGCAGAAAGTTCCGGAGTGGCGGCGCCGGGACAGGGACCTCGCACGGAGCCAGTGGTGACAGTCGGTGTCCCCCCGTGCCCCGGGCTCTGTGCCAGGGACCCCCAGAGCCACCGGCTGAGGGGGGCCAACGGGGAGCCCCGGGACAGCCCTGGGGGTGACAGCGATGGTGACAGTGACCTTGAGCTCGGCACAGGGAGAGCAGGGAGCACTGACGGCCACGGTGAGCCGGACACCGCGGCCACCAGCCTGGGGACATCAGTGACACCGATCCCCTGGGATGAGACGGACACTGCGGCCACTGAGGAGGTGGCACCAGTGACCCCTGGCCTGGTGGACACTGCGGAGACTGACCCGGGGACATCAGCGACACCCGAGCTGGACACTGACCTGGAGACACCGGTGACCCCCAGCCTGATGGACACCATGGCCGCTGACCTGGTGACACCGGTGACCCCCACCATGGCCGCTGACCTGGTGACACCCGTGGCACCAATCGTCCTGGATGAGATGGACGCTGTGGCCACCAGCCCGGTGACACCCAGCCCGCCTGGTGAGCCAGACACTACGGCCACTGCCATGGTGACACCAGTGACACCAACCCCTCTGGGTGAGCCAGACACTGATCTGGGGACACTGGTGACACCCAGCCTGATGGACAGCACGGGCACCGGCCCAGTGACACCCAGCCCACCAGACACTGTGGCCACTGAGCTGGTGACACTGGTGACACCCAGCCCATTGGATGAGCTGGACACTGTGGCCACTGACATGGTGACACCAACCCCACTGGATGAGCCGGACACTGCAGGCACTGCAGTGGTGACACCAGTGACACCCGACCTGATGGACAGCACGGCCACCGACCTGGTGACACCGGTGACACCAACCCCCCTGGATGAGATGGACACTGTGGACACTGACCTGCTGACAACGAGCCCCCCAGATGAGCTGAACACAGTGGCCACCAACTTGGTGACACCAACCCCACTGGACACTGTGGCCACTGACCTGGTGACACCAGTGACAGCAAACCCACCAGATGAGATGGACACTGCAGCCACTGACCCGGTGACACCGGTGACTCCCAACCTGCTGGACAAGATGGACACTGTGGACGCTGGCCTGGTGACACCGGTGGCATCCACCCTGAAGGATGCTGTGGTCACTGATGTGCTGACATCAGTGACACCCACCCTGATGGACACTGTGGCCACCAACCTGGTGACACCAACCCCACTGGATGAGATGGACACTGCAGCCACTGCCCCGGTGACACCAGTGACCTGCAGCCTGATGGACACCGGGGACACCGAGCCAGTGACACCGGTGACACCAACCCCGCTGGATGACGTGGCCTCTGACCTGGTGACCCCCAGCCTGATGGCCACCACGGCCAGTGCCCTGGTGACCCCAGTGACCCCCAGTCCAGTGGCCACCACAGCCAGTGCCCTGGTGACCCCAGTGACCCGCAGCCCGGTGGCTACCACGGCCAGTGCCCCGGTGACCCCGAGCCCCCCGCCCCAGCCCGTGTCCTCCGTGGTGCTGGCAGCTGAGATGACCCTGTCCCACGAGCCCCCGGCTGCCCTCCCGTGTCCCCCGTCACAGGGGTCACTGTCACAGCCCCCCAGGGAGGTCCCCGAGGCCCCCAAGGGGTGGGGGGACGTGGCCACCACCTCACCCGAGGGCTCGTCCCTGGAGCTGCCGGATGCATCTCGCTCCTGCCCTGACTCCAGCCTCGACAGCGCCGGGGAGGGCCCCCCACGCCCCCCCGGGCCCCCAGCCCCCCCTGCACCCTCAGGGAGCCATTGGAGGAGGAAGAGGCAGAAGAGAAGGGGGAGGAGGATGATGAGGGTCCCACGGCCCCCCCGCCCCTGTTCACGGCCTCGGAGCGGGAGGTGTTTGTGGGGACCCCCCCGGCCCCCCCCGAGCTGCTCCCACCACCCGGTGCCTTTTCGGGGTGCGGGGCCGGCCCGGGGGTCACCGCCCTGCCCCGGGGGGCCCTCGAGGACCTGCCCCCGCCCCTGCAGGAGCCCCCCACCCCCCGGCCGGGCCCTGAGCCCCCCGGCCCCACTGAGGGGGGCACCAATGCCAAAGTCCCGGGGGAGGGTGGCCCCCCAAGCCCCCCCGGCCCCCCAAGATCTCCCCCAGCTCCCCCTGAGCAGCAGCAGCAGCAGCAGGAGGAGGCGGTGGGGGAGGTCTCCTCCAGCCCCCTTCCCGCCGTGGGGGCTCAGCAGGGGCCCCCCCAGGAGCCGACCCCCCCTGAGCCCCCCCACCCTGTGCCCCCCAAACTCAGCCAAGTGCCTCCTCCCGCCGCCGTGTCCCTGCTGGCCCCGGCCCCCCCCGGGCCCCTCCCCAGCCAGGAGCCCCCCCCGGGGCTGCCCCCCTCCAGGAAGCACCTCGAAGGTAAGAGACACCCCCCAGGTTCCTCCGTGGCTGTGGGTCTGGGGTGGGCATCACCCGGGGGGGGCTGGGGAGGGTCTCTGGGGGGGTTCAGCCCTATGGAGGGGTTTTGGGGGCCCCCCAGCTCAGCCCCCCCCACTGCCATAGGGGACTGTGTGGAGCCAGGGGGGGCACTTGGGGGGGCTGGGAGTGCCTTGGGGGGGTCGTTGTTCCTGAGTGGGTGGTGGGGGTGAGCAGGGGGGTTCACCCCCATGGGATGTTCCCCCCCTCCCCCAGCTCAGCCCCCCTCCCGGGGTATTTCTTGGCACCAGGGTGGGCACCCTGGGGGGGGGGATGTGCCTTTGGGGGCGTCCCGGGGTGGGTGATGGGGGTGAGCAGGGGGTTTGACCCCCCAGAGGAGTTTTGGGGACCCCTCGGCTCAGCCCCCATCCCCCCACAGCCCCCCAGCCCCCCCTGCAGAAGGAGCCGGAGCCCCGGGGCCGAGCAGTGGGGCCGGGGGCTGGGGGGGGCCGGGGGCCCCCCCGGGGGTCTCTGCAGTCGGAGTCGAGCTCGTCCAGCGAGGCTGAGACCCCCCGGGCTGACCCGGCCCCCCAGCGCTGCCAGCCCAACCACCGAGGTGAGGGGGGGGCCCTGGGTACCCCCGGGCTTGGGGGGTCCGGGGGCCCCTCTCACCTGCCCCCCTTCATTCCCAGGGTCCGGGAACGAATCCGAGAGCAACGACGAGTCCATCCCGGAGCTGGAGGAGCCCGAGGGCTCGGAGCCGCCCCCCGCCCAGCCCCAGGTGGGGGTTTGGGGGGTCGGGGTTGGTGGGACCCCCCCGGGGGTGTTAAGGACCCCCCTGACCCCCCCTCTCTGCAGGTGCCCCTGGGCCACGCGCTCGGCCCCGGAGAGGAACCGCTGAGCAAGGCCAAGCAGAGCCGGAGCGAGAAGAAGGCCCGGAAGGTGGGGGGGTCCCACAGGGAACTGGGGATCCCTGTGTGGGGTTGGGATCTCCATCCCAGGGTTTGGGCAGGGGGGTCAGTACTGGGGTGTTGGGGGTCTGGTCCCCACTCTGGGGGGTCACACTGGGGAGGGGGCTGGGCTCACCCATGGGGTTGGGGTCCTTATTTCACCCCGGGTTTTTGGGGTGGTTAGTTCTGGGGTGTTGGGGTTCAAGCCCCCACTCCAGGGGGTTCTCCAGGCCACACTGGGGAGTGTCTGGGTGTCCCCACCCTGGGTTGGGGGTCCCATCCTGGCCGTGCCAGGGACAATGTCCTCCATCCCCCATCCCTGGTTTCCCCGTTATCCTGGGGATTTGGGGTGTCACTGGGGGGGCTGGAGCCCCCCCGGGCTGCTGTGCAGGGGGTCACCCCGTGCCCCCCGTGCCCCCAGGCCATGTCCAAGCTGGGGCTGCGGCAGATCCACGGCGTCACCCGCATCACCATCCGCAAGTCCAAGAACATCCTGTTCGTCATCTCCAAGCCCGACGTGTTCAAGAGCCCCGCCTCCGACATCTACATCGTCTTCGGGGAGGCCAAGGTGGGCTCGGGGTCCGCGGTGGGGGGGTGTGTGTGTCCCTGCCCGGGGGGGGGCCGGCAGTGACCCCCTGTGCCCCCCAGATCGAGGACCTGTCCCAGCAAGTGCACAAAGCGGCGGCCGAGAAGTTCAAGGTGCCGCTGGAACACTCGGCCCTGGTGACAGACACGGCCCCCGCCCTCGCCATCAAGGAGGAGAGCGAGGAGGAGGAGGAGGTGGGTGCTGGGGGGGCTCGGGGACCCCCGGGGGCTGATATGGGCGGGTAATGGAGATGTTCCTCCCCCAGGTGGGGGGGACAAGGCTGGAGGAGCAGGACACAGAGCTGGGGGTGGCTCAGGTTACGGTCTTGTGTCTTGGGAGGGGGCACGGGGGGAGTCCCTGAGGTGTGCTGAGGGACCCCCAAGGTCCTGTGGGGTGTTATGGGGGGACAGGCACTGTGGCACCCCATGGGGACAGGACGGGGCTGGAGGGGCAGGACACAGAGCTGGGGATGGCCCCGGCCAGTGTGGTGTGCCCTGGGAGGGGACACACAAGGGCTCCCGGGATGGGTGCTGGGGGACCCCCAAAGCTCTGGGTGGGTGCCTTTGGGGGGTGACAGCCCTGTGCCCTCCTCCAGGTGGACGAGACGGGGCTGGAGGTGCGGGACATCGAGCTGGTGATGGCCCAGGCCAACGTGTCCCGCCCCAAAGCCGTGCGGGCCCTGCGGCACAACAACAACGACATCGTCAACGCCATCATGGTGAGTGGGGCCGGGACCCTCCCTGCTGGGGGCCGGGACCCTCCCTGCTGGGGGCTGGGACCCCTCCCCAGCGGGACCTGGGGTGCCCCGGGGGTCCCTGACTCGCCCTCTCTCCCGCAGGAACTGACCATGTAGCGGCCGGGGCTGGCCTGGCCCCCCTGTATAGATGCACAGAGACCCCCAGATCCTTCCTCCTGCCCCCCAGCCTCCTTCTCCCCCCATGGACCGCTCAATAAAGGCCTCCTGCACCCCTTGGATCGCACTTGGCCCCCCTGTGATGATTTTGGGGGGTCTGGGGAGCCCCTGTTCCAGCCCGGGGGGTTGTAACTGGGATGGGGAGGTGGAGGCACAGCAGGGTGGGCAGGTTTTGGGGCTCTCATTGGGGTCAGGGGTGGCAGCACCCCCCAACACCATTGGGGGTCAGGGTTTACCCCCCCCCAACTTTAGGGGGGCAATGGGGAGCGTGGCAGAGACCTGCCAGGACACTGCAGCTCTGCCTTGCTCCCAGAATTTAATCCCATGGCCCATGGAAATATAAAAACACCCCCCACTCCCCCATGAGCTGTTAGGACCTCTCTGGATCCTGTCAAAAACGGGGGTTTTCCTGAAATTCCCAATTTCCCAAAGGGTTTAATGATGGGAAGGAAACTCTCCCAGCTCTGAGGGAGGGAATTCCTGCTCCCCAAATCCCAGGGACCCGGGGTCCCCCTGCTTTGCCACCCCCTTCCTGCCCCCAGTTTCTTGGCCTGGGAATGGGAAGGCTCTCGGAGGGGCCCCCTCTGTGCCCCCCAGGTGAGTCCCCGGGATCACTCAGCTTCCAGCACCCCCAAATTCCAGGAGGAGGAGGAGCTGGGGCTGGGGGACCCCCGGGAGGAGAAGGGGGGGTCACCAGTTAAGGGTGAGGGGGGAAGACATCACTAAGGGTAAAGGGAGAAAGGGGACACCAGTAAAAGTAAGGGGGAAGGGGGGGGGGGGGGCACACCAGTGAGGGAGCTGGTGAACTGGGGACACACCAGTTAAGGGAGCTGGTGAACTGGGGACACACCAGTTAAGGGAGCTGGTGAACTGGGGACACACCAGTTAAGGGTGCTGGTGAACTGGGG